ATGTCCCGCAATTTAGCAACAGTGTAAGACGGCATCTTACAATAATCACCGATTGATCTGATTCTGACGTTAAGTTTGGGTTTTAGGGAGGAACGAATGCGCACCGCTGTGAAGGGAAAGAAGTTGCGCAATACGAAACGCAGCTAGTTAATAATAAGTAATAGCTTTACCTCATGTGTTCTTTTGTATAATCCTTAGAAGCCAAAATCGAAATAAAAAAATAAAATGAGCTTAATAAAACGGCCACAGGCCTAAAGTGTAAGCAGATGTTTGAATGTTTAGTTCTCTCTTCTATCATAATTAAACAGGGCTTTCATGTTGCGCGTGCTGAAGCTCCTCCGCGTGAGCGCGATCTCGCTTCTGAATTGCGAATACCAAAAATGCATCAAAGACAAATGTTTGAAAAACAGCTGGCCACTCTGGTGAGAGAGAATTAGCAAGATAATGTGTATATATAGCAATAATAAAAATGTATGTGTGTTTTATTAATTTCTCCAGTACCGATAACAGAACCGTTAACGTCAGAGCTTATCGATACTCCGGTCTTTCATAATTTAGCTCCGGGACCGATTAAATACCGGGTTTCGGTACCCATCTATATGTCTCACACACACACACACACACACACACACACACACACACACACACATTATAATATAATATAATATATACAGTACTTGTCAAAATATTTTTATATGTTTTTAATGAAGTCTCTTATGCACACCAAGGCTACATTTATTCGATCAAAAAACAAACAAACAGTAAAAACATTAATATTGTGAAATATTATTAAAATTTTAAATAACTACGTTCTATTTGATTTTAAAATCTAATTTGTTCCTGTTATGCAAAGCTGAATTTTCAGCATCATTACTCCAGTCTTCAGTGTCACATAATCCTTCAGAAATCATTCTAATATATAAATATTTTGACAATGACCCTTATGTTGGAACCTGACACCACTAGTATAAGTGATGTACGTTTGGTCATATAGTGTATTTCATTTGTAATTCAGTCAGTGACCCCTACATACAGACAGAGTTTAACATCAGACCACTCAAATTAAAGGATTTCGCCAAGCAACACAAGACTTCAATTCCCAATCAGAGTTCAGCAAGCAAGAAGCGCTGCCGTAGGTCATGCAATTCCACTGGGAGAAATGAATATCCTACCGCACATCTCTGGGTCTTCATCAGAGTTGTCTCCGCAGTCGTCCTCACCATCGCACACCCACACATGCAGCTTACACAGGGTGTTGTTGCAAATGAACTCATCGGGGCGACAGAAGAAAGCATCTGAATAAACAACATTAAAGTGGTTTTAAACTGCAACACATGGATATTTTGCTGAATTAAAGATGGTTATGACAACCTGAACGAACACATACATAATGTGTATATACATGGGGCAATCGTGGCCTAATGTTTAGAGAGTCGGACTTGCAACCCAAAGTTCATGGGTTCGAGTCTTAGTACCGGCAGGGATTGTCGGTGGGGGGAGTGAATGACCAGCACTCTCTTTTACCTTCAATACCCATGACTGAGGTGAGACCCTTGAGCAAGACACTGAACCCCCAACTGCTCCCCGGGCACCACAGCAATATGGCTGCCCACTGCTCCGGGTGTGTGTTCACGGTGTGTGTGTGCACATGGGTTAAATGCAGAGCACAAATTCTGAGTATGGTTATCATACATGGCACTCACTCACAAACACTGCTGGTGTCAAAACTATGAAAACTGCCTCAGAAAAGATATATTAATTCACTAGTATCAAAGTCATACATCAACATGAGTGTAATTGCTGGTTAGTTATTGTATTATAAATCATCTTCATACCATGACTACAGTTCTCCTCATCACTGTGATCCACGCAATCGAACACATCATCGCAGCGCCATCGTTTAGGGATGCAGTGAGCATGGTTTTTGCACAGAAACTCATCTTCTCTGCACTCCTTGACACAGTCCATCTGGTGTGAGCACAACAACAAAAGCCTAAACCACTTTCAAGAGGAAGACTTTGCTGCACTGGTGAAAGTACAGAACACTTCTGTTTCCATGGAGTGGAACATGAGTCCGATATACAAGATGTTAAAAAAAATTTAATGTTTTTTTCCCCCCCACATAGGATTTATAGTGGCTGGCTGTATCTTTCTCAATTTTTTCCCCCCAATATATCTACTTGTACATGTCTTTGTTTTTGTTTCACGACTGCACTTGTGCTCAGTTTCTGAGAGAGGAGCACTTGATGTAAGGTGAGAGGGTCTTGCTAGAGGACTGACCTCATCAGAACTGTCCAGACAGTTGTCATGTCCATCACACCTCAGGCTGGCAGACACACATCCTCCACTGGCACACACATACTCGCTTAGCGAACAGGAGGGAAGCACTGCAAAACAGATGATGGCAAAAATCCACTCTCACATACAGATACACACACAACTGATGTGTACAGGAAGAGGGAGGTAAGATGTGTCAGTGGGTAAGCTGAGTCACCCACTTAATCTAATACAACTGTGCATAGTTTTTGTCATGTGACCTTATGAAGTTGTTTTTATGCTGTTGATGCTAAAACCCTGTTTGGCTTTTTTGCATGTCCATGTAAATTTCAATGTAGCAGGCAAAATGATTTTTATGTCAAAACACATTTATCCAGGTCTAAATATATGTATCAAACATGATAAAGAATTATTTAGGTAAAGGTTAGTCATAAATTATTACATTTTCTGAAAATTGTATCTGTGGGGTAAAGGTACCAGATTATGTGGCAACAAATTGTGAGCTTATACTAAAAATAGAAATACTAATATAAAATCTTTAAAATGGTTTTATTAAATTCAGATATTCTACTTAATGTGCAAACAAATAAGATTTTGGAATTGGAATGCGACACATCTTCACTTAATAACCAAAATGCACATAATAAATTATTGAGGCATCTAAATAAGTTCTTAGGTTAAATTAAAAATGTAACTAAGGAGTTAACACACTAGAGAGCTGACTAAGGCACTTGTGTTTATTATGCACAAACTTTCTGAAAAACAACAAAAATTGAGCTACAGCATTTGAACTTACCAGACAATGTAATCATAAAACATTTAAAGCCGAAATGTTTATTTTCTCAGTGTTTACATACCATCTCCCATCCCAGGTTAATGTGCAGTGACAACTATAAATCATTTGTAGGTTTCATTAAATGAAAAGTGCAAACATGTATGGCTCTCTACAGCTATGACAAAATGTTTATTTGAGAATCTCAAGCATTGGCATCTTGGCATGAGTTTGGGGTGGGACTATATGTTTGACGGGGAATGTTTAGGGAAATAATTGGAAAGTGGTGAATGTTTAGTAATGCTAGTGGTGCAGAAATGATACACCTCAGCTTTAAAGACCACAAGATGTAATAAAGTTACCTGTTCCGAGGCAATTTCTCTCATCTTCCCCTGTCTTACAGTCTTCCTGGCCATCGCACAACCATTTACGTGAGATGCAGAGATTGTTGTGGCATTGAAACTGATCCTCTTCACAGTGTGTCTCGCAATCCTTCTGAAAATGCACAAAGCAAGGGGGAGTTTACTTCGGTTTTGGAAATCTAATTTTAAAAATATCTACTGTCTTCATGACCTGCAGATGAAGCCATAAGAGTATGAGGACTGATGTTGTATGAAAACCGAGATTAAACAGCTTTGAGATAAACGGCTCGAAGGGAATGTTTTGGAATATAAGACAGCTGCTGTGTTGTCCCCAAATGACATCTAGCATTCACTGACCTCATCTGAATTATCAGCGCAGTCATAGTCACCATCGCAACGGAAGCGTGCTGAGATACAGTCCCCACTGGCGCAGGCAAAATCCTTATGATTACAGGTCACCGGCTCTGCAGAGAGGAGAGCAGAATAAGACAGCTGAAGCAGCACAGCTACCCTGACCCTGTGAAGCTGCCCACATTGAAAACACTGAAGTAAACCTTCGCAGAGGACAGCAGCAAGGCAGCAAGAGCAAATCAAAAGTGCTAAAGTGGCCTCGCACTTGGACGTGAATTGGCATTGTACCATCTGTTACCAAGGTTCTTGAAAGTTTGCCAAGAACTTAAAAGGAGCTATTTGCAGACTAATCAGCAATTAGAATGTCTAAAAGGGCTGTTCTCGAATATGGCTAATGGCTAGAAAAACATGGGTGGTTAGAAAAGCCTGTTAATATAAACTGTTTGAAATTGGTTGATTTCATAACATAATTTACGAAAAAGGACCATTAAAGCAAAGGCATCCTGGACATTATACATGCTCATTATTTACTCAGACTCCTGTCATTTCAAACCCATATGCTTGTATTTTTTAACAATAATTTTAAAATTAAGAAAAAACAAATGTGCTTATAGTTTTATTCAAAAGTTTGCAGTTTGGATTTTTTTATATTTCTGAAAGAAGTCTCTTATGCTCACCAAGATATTTATTTGATAAAACATACAGTAAAATAATATGATTTGATAATACAAAACATATTTATAATTTTTTTGTTAATTAAAATAACAAACTAATTAAATTTTAAACTTTTTGTCAATAAAAAAAGCCAATTAAAAATTTATTTTTAAAGAGTATTTACATACCATAGATCTCCTCCAGTTTCTTGTTATCATGGGCTGTCAAGTTGCATAAAATTGTTTTTCCCCCCGTTCTTGATTTTTGTCCTTTTTGAAGCTTGACAGCCCATGATAACTACAAACAGTCATATGGAAAGAACATATGGCTTTGGAATTTAAGTAAAAAATGACATTGCATAAAACACAAGTAAATAGTTTATCTTTCTTTATGGCAATGTGGGCAAGATCAGAAGCGACCAGACAAGTGGTAAACAAGCAGACAAAAATAAATCTTCAAATAGTCTGCGAAACTGGCCTCTGAAGATCCCACACAACGTTTCTTGACAGTTAAAACAATTTAGTACAAACACAAGTGTGGAAAAGGCTTTATTGTGCTCCGAGAGATGAGAGCGACTCACTGCAATGCTCCTCATCGGAGTTGTCTCCACAGTCATTCTGGCTGTCACATCTCCAGTGGTCCGGGATGCAGTTGTTATTCTCACAGCGAAATTCATGAGGTCCACAGGTCTTTTCATCTTTTTCATCAGACACAAACAAACACACAGATGAAAATGGCTTCAAAAGTGCATGAAAATTAATGCAGTGCTACCTTATTTCGACACGTAATCATCATTTCCTCAGGGTTCTGGGCCCGGATCTGACACTAAGTTCAAAACATGCCCACACTCAAGAGGCTAACGTACCATAACATGAGATACCTGACTGTGCTGCCGATAGCTTCCATCCTCAATAACCTGAACACTTGACACGTAACATCAAACACTTTGTCACCTGGGCACAATCGTCTACGTCGTCTGAAGGAGCTCATTCTACCTTTCTCCAGAGTGCATGTACTGTTTATGTTATATAACCTAAGAACCTTCTGAGGTGCTAGAGCCAAGATGAATTGTTAATGAACAGACAAGAGGACCACATCATCAGATCAAAACTTTGGTTACAGAAGATCAAGCTACATTCCACCCCCCCCACCCCACCCAAGAAAACAGGCTAAGAGAAGCAAACTGCAAATACTTGCCAGTTTTCATTAGTGTGAAATAATAAAAGAGCATCCTAGAATATCTCCCTTGATAGATTCTTCTGTTTAAATATTCTCTAATGTGGCGCAGGCATAATGATAGAAAGCATCTAAAAGAACATCTAGAGATACTGGCATCTGAGAAAAAAAATACTGAGAATATGGGAGATGTTTCTTAGTTGTAATTGTAGTAGTAATTGACTTTCAAACACTAATGAGTGTCACAAAATAGAAGCCACTGCACACTAATGAATGTTACAACATACAGTAGAAGCCACTGCAAAAGATACAGTCTTCTGAGATAAAACAATGCATATTCATGTGAAGATAGATCTTAAATGTGCATGAATTTCCACTTATTTCTGTGTGATTGTAATTCCCTATATTACCAAAAATGTAAGTATCAATAAAGCTCGTCTGTTATGTTAATTGCACCATTTGACATCAATTGCCAAGATATGGATCTATAATTACTTGCAGGCTGATGTAGATAAAGTGTGTCACATCTGGAAAAATCAATGGAGACATCAGAGGAGCCCGTCACACCTCAATTACAAAAAAGTGACCCTTCTACTGTTCCACTGATGTGTCACTCATTTGGGGGATTACCTGATTTACAGATAATCCATAACAACCTCAGATATGTTCAGTCAATGCAGTCAAACCAATTTTCTCAATTAAATTCTGACAATGTGATTTTCCCCCCTGCAACAGCCGAGCTATTGATTTCATTTCTTTTGTCGACCGATATGGGAAAGCCATGCTCATCATCCCTGCTGGGATGTGTCACAGTTATATATACACCATATATTGAGGATGATTACCTTTAAGACATCCACTTAGAGGCTGTGCCACTGCAAATAAATAATGATTTTCTACAATGATGTGAGAGTAAAAAAAACATCAACATCAGCGTGCAGTATAGGTCTTTAATAAGTCTAATGTTTGAGAGTTAGACCTTCTTTGTCAAAGGAATCTTCTGATGAATCATTAATGAGGTTCAAAAGACTATGGCTCTGATTCAAAACCTAGTGAGCTGCTCACAAACAGTAGGCAGCCTATTGAAGGCATGTTCCAAAAGGCACTTTTATCTTTACCCTTTTACAAAACTTATTTTAGGCTTGTGAAAGTGTAACGTACATACTGTATGTTTAACCAAATTAATTTTATGTACACATCAATACATTTGATAATACTATTATTCCCTTCTGATTTCTGAAGACTGGTCAGAAATAATGAGATTAATTGCAATTAATTTATTATACTGAGGTAAACTTTTATTTAAATTTTTTTTAATAATTATGTGTATTAATTTTATTGAAGACTTCATTACTGTTTAAAAGTTTGGAGTCAGTAAGATTTCTTTTAAAGGATGTAATAATTTTATTTATCAAGGATACATTAAATTGATTAAAAATGACAGTAAAGACTGTTTCAAATATTGTTTTGAATATTGTTTCAAATATTTCAAATAAATGCGGTTATTTTGAACTTTATATTCATCAAAGAATCCTGAAAAATGTATCACTGTTTCTGCAAAAATATTAAGCAGAGCAACATTGATAAAACATATTCGAATGATTTCTGAAGAACCACTGAAGACTGGAGGACTGGCTGCTGAAAATTCAGCTTTGTCATCACAGGAATAAATTACATTTTTAAACATATTAAAATAGAAAACAGTTATTTTAAATTGTAATAATATCACTGTTTTTACGATATTTTTGATCAAATAAATGTAGACTTCTTTCAAAATGTCAACAAATCTTACCAACCCCAAACTTTTGAACTTTTAAAAGAAAAAAAAAACTGTATATAATTTTGTGTTTATTAGAAAATTGCATATTTAGCTTAGATACGTGCTAAAGGAAAACTCTATTGAAATCAACTGTGAGTGAAGTCTCCCGCATGCTTTGTGTGATAAACGTTATTTATATGCAGCCTGGAGTTGCTGCCTAAGAGTGTTCCAAATCTGTCATTTACGAGGTTACAATTCAATCAGGATTCTGTCATAGAAGGCAGCTGCCTATAGAGACATTTAGGTGAATATTTTCAGTATTGATCAAATGAGTGGTGCTAATAAAATGAGGTACACAGCTTGTTTGTTCAATATAGAATATAGAAAAATGCTTGAAACTAAAACCCTCAGAAATTGTTTTGCCAGTGTACTGGCACTTTAAATGTCTGGAGCACATAGCTGAGGAAGAATGCAATATGTGGGGCCACCGCTGATGTGCCATTGTCAAACTAAATCAGGCATTCAGGCAACAAAACAGGCCCAAGGGAATTGTTACAAGCCACAGCTAATAAAAGCCGAGTGGTTCATGATTAAAGCTGGCCTCACTCCATCAGAGAGAGAGAAGACTGTGGGAGCATACAGAATTGACATTAGCCCCAATCAGACTTTCAGAAGGGTCTGCACGTGTGGCTGACTGAGGCTCTGATTTGTGAGTAATAACTGCAGCTCACTCACCACAATTGGCCTCATCAGAGCCGTCAGCACAGTCTGGGTCTTCATCGCACACCCAGAGCTTTGAGATGCAATGCATGGTGGCCTTGCACTGGAACTGGTCTGGAGAACATGTGCTCTCAGCTGGAACATTAAGGCAGACAGAAAATAGCAGGTTATTTACAAGGCCAGTGAAAAGCTATTGTAATAAGGCAGACAGAAAATAGCAGGTTATTTACAAGGCCAGTGAAAAGCTATTGTAAGAATTTGAAAAAAAAAAAAAAAAACCTTCCAAAACTTCTGGTACTACATATGACTGTGATTCAATAAAGTAAGAATATATGTGGCATCTTCACTTTCTTTACATTATGACAAGGTCTTCTGCAATTTATCACCCAAGAAATGAGGAAATGACAGCCTAGAAATGTTAGTCAAGGCTGGTTGTAAGAAGGTCAAATGGGAAGTGTTATATGGCATTTCTTCAGCTACAAGCAATTTTATTTTGCAGAGGTTTTTTTTTTTTTTTACTATGACTAAAAGATCTCAATTTATTTTATTTGTTGTATGAAGGTCAAATGCCTTGGAAATTCTTTAAAAATGCCTAAATCATATACTTTTTGCCATTTTTAAATGCATTTTATGCATAGACTTTACCGTTTTACTGTCTCATGCCAGGACTTCAATAGAAACACTCAAAAATATGAATATATTCAAAAATAATATATATATATTTTTTAAAACTACTATAATTTTATAACTATAATATAATATAATAATATATTATATAAATTATATAACTATAATCTCACAAACGCCAAAGCAAATGTAAACCATTTCAATATTTACTGCATAAAATTGACCTCAGTTCCCTCATTTGTGACCTTGACCAACAATTTCAAATTAGTGTTTTAGGTTATCAGGCTGGCAAACTTATCACAGTGAAGTTATGCACACTTAAAATATGAAGGTAACTCCATCTCAAATCTCAAGGTAACTCAAGGTCAAGGAAAAATATATATATTTTTTAAAATCAGATATAAATATGTTTATGTTGCGCACATATATTAAAATTAATCTTAGCAAGACAAAATGTCTGCCATTTTAAACTTTAGTTCCACCACAGTCATTTCCAAATGAAATGTGGTGAAAATGTCCATGACGCTTCAGGGAGGGAAAAAAAAAGACAAAAATGACAGAATTCTTCTGTGACGCATGTTCACTTTTTGGTAAAATTTAGTTTGAGTTTGAAAAGTATTCAAGAGATTTATTTTCTAAAAGCTTATACACATTTCCACTCCAGGTGACTTTATTTTTCACTGACAAGTATTGCTACCTTTCCCAGGAAAGGGCCTTTTCTTTTAGAATACCTAATAAGCACCTGGCTATCCTTTTAGCTCCAAAACCAGCAGACTCGTTTAGTGGGATAAAAGCCACATTTGAGATCTGTCAGTCTGGATCATTAAATTCAAAGGGGAAAAGTCAAATTTGGCAGAGTTCGAACAATTCTGTCACAACACCCTTTAGTTTACGAGAATGAGGCCCATTATTGTCGGTGGTTAATGGAGGGAGCAGAAAGTGTCATGGCGTAGCTTACGGCAGTCTGTCTCATCCTCGCCATCCCCGCAGTCGTCCTGGCCGTTGCAGCGAAGATTTAATGGTATACACTTCTGCTTTCGGGTGCACTTGAACTGGCCTGACAGACAGATGTATGTATCTGCAAATGGGGGGAGACATTACAGTGAGAAAAACATCATGCTGGATCAATGCAGTACGATCATCCATATTCCATTTCAGAAGGGATCATTCAGAGTCGGGATGCAATAAGAATAAAACTGAGATGATTGCAGAAACAATATTATTTGTGTTAAAAGCACTAAACGTCTTGAATCTTAAATCGGTGTTGGTCCAATACATCCCGATTACGATCGTTAAATGACAAAACACCCTCTACTCTTTTCTAATACTTCTAAAGTGGATATCGATCGTTTGATACCAGCAAGAGTCTGTATAATTGAACATTCAGAGACAGCTGTGCTAAAGAAGATTTGTTGCTGATGAAAATTCCAGGCAGATTTTTCGTGCTCGTGCCCGCCACATACTTCACAGGAACTGAATTCTACAAGGGAGTCCTGATAGCCTCACACAGAGAGAAAAGGCTACGGATCTGTCGATAAGAACACGGCATTTTAGATCAGCTTTGGTGTCTATTATTTTGCTCACCACAGTTGGCCTCATCGGAGTTGTCCCCGCAGTCATTCTCTCCATCGCAGATGAAGGGAGGTAAGGCGCAAAGGCCAGTGCCACACTGAAAACGCCCAGGCTGGCATTTGAATTCCGCTGCAAAAATGATGATTAACAGTGAACTCCAAAGGATTCAAAACAATTAGCACATAGGTGTGTGTTTTTAAACTCGAGCTGCGTGAGGTTGCCTGAAATGGGAGAGTCAACCCACGTTCCATTATTTCTCTAAAAGCACTTCTACGATATTTAATGCCCCCTGCCCTTTATCAAACAACAGAGGTTCCACCTATTAACAGCAACCATTGGCAGCCTGTCATTTTCTGTTTGTACTGCTCAAGTGAATCACCAAGCAACAAAGTGAATCTAAAAACAAGCTCACTAAGAAACAAAAATGAAAGAACAAAAGTTCCTCCTTTTGCATGACGTAAAGGTCAGCCTACCGTGAAGCTGTGAACCAGTTCATCGTCACACTGTATAACAACACTGGCATGTGGTAATATCAGGGCTCATTTTAACTGGTGGGAATGCCAGCTTTAGAAATGACAAAATTTGCCACTCTCCACTTGTTTGGAAAATAACCACTGCATTTTGTTTTGCTACGCCGCATTGCGATACTGTCGATGACTGTGTAAAACAATGACTCTAAAGTTGCAGTTTAACTGAAGTAGTAACAAATCTTTTCTTCCATATTGTGATATATAACTGAGTTAAACGGATTATTGAAAATAAAAAATTTAGGTTATTGACTGGATGAAGGCAGATCTCGGGGCTCGACAATGCGAGCATTTCACTCGCATATGTGACTAAAATTAGAAGTGTGCAAACTGTAAGATGTAGTTAGGAGCACATATGTGAGTAAAAAAGTCCCCGTAGGTTCTTAAAAATTCTTAAATATCTTAAATCGCATAACAACCATCTTAATTATAATTTTAAGAGTTCTTAAATTTGTGGATGGAAAAACAAGTTGTAGCAATACAGCCTAATGTGATAACTAAACTTGAAAAGCACTTTGATTTAACTGAATAAATGTAATGTAAAATAAAAGTTAAAATGCATGCTCTTCAGGCTCGCCATTTCAGAGGGGTTCGCAATCAATGAATAGTTAAATTTTTCCTTGGAAAAAGGAAGCGTCAAGTCCTGAGTCTGAATATGAGTTTGCAGTCAACTGTAAGAGAAAGGAGCAGGGTTTATGTTATAAATATACATGCATGGATGACTTGTTCACAATAAGATCAATAACAAGCATTTAAAAAAAAAAAACATAATTTCCATTTCATGCTGACTTTAAGACCAAGCAGAAGCTTCTGCCAAGCAGTTGTTTTGAATGAATGCGCAAACTGTAATCCAACATGGCTTGTGCTCATCTTCTAGTCTTGCCTTTCAGCAAATCAGAACATCACATAATGCAATTAATATTCATGACCCAAGTTAGGGTGCTGAGCAGCTTACATGGAACCATCTACTGTGAACAACAAAAGAAAAGCAAAGTTGTCTAGCAAAAAACAGCATTTTTGTAATCAGTATTGTCACGTGGCCTTCTTATTAAACCTGTATGACAAAAACACAAAACTGCTGACATTTCTGGAAAAATTTGCTTTAAAGCCGTTCTCATATGAGTGTAACCGTGGCAACTAGGCATATAAAACCGAGTTATACTTGTAAAGAGAGGCTGATGAGATTTATAATGTGCCCCACGCACTTTTTGAATTGTTCTTAAAACCCCTGGTTACGACACTGCATGAATATTACAAACTGTTCAAAACAAAAACAACAGTGCAGGCAGTGTAGGTTGGGTAAAATGGGAAGTCAAGCGCTCACGACAATCGGCAGGCTCATCAGACCCATCACCGCAGTCATCTACCGTATCGCATTTCCACCAGAATGGGATGCACTCATCCGTTCCACAGCGGAACTGCAAAACAAGTCCACCGCATCAAAAAAGGTCAATCAGTTATGGGTAACACAAACTGGAACAATCATTGCAGTTCTGACTAATGACTTGGAATCATCATTTTGGCATACAGACCTGGCTGGCTGTGCAGTTGGACAGGCATGTCTTGTTATCGGCGGCCAAATAGAAGTTAGTTGGGCAGGCGCACTTGTGACCTCCACCAGGAGAGAGTAAGCACAAGTGACTACAGCCTCCATTGGCCACTTGACACTGGTGTTTGGGGACTGTAAAAAGGGGATAGAAATGGCTTGTGATTAGGTAATATTAAAAGAATATTTATGCAGCTCTTGCCATATTGTATAAGACCTGAAAAGGACAATAACACATCATAAAGGCCCTGCAAAAGTGTCCATACTGCATATGTAATACATTAAAATATATATAAGTATAAAATAAACACACACACACACACACACACACACACACACATATATATATACATACACCATGATTACCACAAAATTGTTAAGCAGGACAACTGCTATCAAAACAGAGAATAAGAAAAGTTTTTTGAGCACCAAATCAGCATATTAGAATTATCTAAAGGATATATTAAAATAGATCCTTAATATAATAAATATTAAAACAGAAAATAGTTATTTTTAATTGTAATAATTTTTCACAATATTACTGTTAAAAAAACATTTTAAAAAATCTTACTGACCCCAAACTTTTGAATAATATAATATAATATAATATAATATAATATAATATAATTGTTTTATTAAATTATATACTTTACATTTCATTTTAAATTGATAAGTTGAATGGAGCAAATGCACTTCAATCCAGATCTTCCAGACCAAGATTTAAGTCTCTATAAATAGCAAGAGCTGTGTAGGAGTGAGTAAATAATGACAGCATTTTCATTTTTGGACAAACCAAGTATAAAATTAATTTAATATTTATGTTAAACAGTCTCTACCTTCAGGCTGGCGCAGCGGGTGGTAGACAATGACAGATTTAATGGCTTGCCATGAATTCAAAAGCTCGACAGCATTAGAACCGGTGGTCTTATGAGCTCGACGGAGAGATTTGGACTTCCCGTCAGTCCAATAAATGAAGTCCTCGAACAGCGTGAGTCCCATCACACCCTGGATGTGGTCATGAGGAACTGAGGTAGAGAGTATCACACCAGGTTCCATCATTAAAGTTGCATTACTGCATAAGTAAATGATTTCCTCAGTCATTATCCTACAACTTTCAAATGTACTGTTCTCTAGTCTAACTTTTGTGAATGTACTGTAAGTACAATGACAGATCTTTAATGTTTTACTTTTACCTTTTTTGCATATTCTGTACATACAGTATATACACAGAAGATTGTGGCCTTGAATTATTATACTGTTGAAAGGCTTTATTGTGGTTTCTTTTATTCAATTCTGCCTTGTTATGGTCCACTAATCCAATAGATGAGAGAAAAAAAACAAAAAACAGAACAGAACAAAATTACGACTCATTTTGTACCCCGGTGCCTCTGAGAACCATCCATAGTTGCAAAGAATATGTGATTATCATCAGCCCAGTAGATTCTCTTGTTTGTGTAGTCAATGGTTAGAGCTGAGGGGCTGTAGATTTCTTTGTTCACAATAACGCCCTGGCCTTGGCCATCCATGCCAACTCGACCGACGTGAGGATTTTCACAGCAGTCAATCCAGAACACAAACCTGAGGAAGAGAGAGTGACCCTCATTCGCTCATCACAGCTTTTTAAAGCAGAGATTAGCTATTCCCATTGTTCTAGGGGTCTATGCATTCGTTCTTTTTCTTGTGACAAAATAAAGTCTCCCTGGACTGATGGTGCAGAAGTAGAAATTATATTGTGAAAAATTGAAAAGGAAGCAGTTGTACCCGGTTTGAGCATCCAGAGCAAGGTCTGTTGGGTTCTTCAGGCCAGAGCTCACTAAGACGGTGGGGTATAAACCATTAGATTTGGACACGTCCAGCGTCTTTCTCTCCACGTCGCACCAGTACAAGTTCTTCCCAATCCAGTCCACAGCCAGTGCACTTGGCACAGCTGTTCGGTGAACAATCTAATAAAGCAAATAAGTGCCATTCAGATCAGTCACTATAATCTTATCACATAATACTTTAATGAGCAAGTAGGATAATGGGAGTGGTTGTGTTATGAAAATAAGAAAACAGGTCATTAAAGTAATAGTTCAGACAAAAATTGAAAATTCCGCCATTATTTACTCAATTTCATGTTGTTCCAAACCAGTAAGATTTTCTTTTGTCAGTAGAACACAAAAGTAGAAATTGTGTAATCAGGGACGCTTTGCTCTTTTTTAAGCAATTACATTAAAGAGGACCTTGTGCTTTCAAGCTTCAAAACAGGAAGCAAATCACCATAAAGTAGTCCAAAATGCACTATACTGTATTTGTCCTCTGAAGTTAGCTTTGTTTGAGGAACAGGCTGAAATTTAATAATCTATAGTCAGTGAGTTGGACTTGAGAACCAGATAAGTCATGAACGAATCATTCTGACCAGTATGAATTGGATAGTGATTGACTTAAAAGATAAAAATCAAAAGAATTATTCATTCACAATGGATGACTCCTCCTTTTGTGTTCAACATAAGAAAGCAAGTAATTCAGGTTCAGAATGAGAGAATAAATAATTACAGAATAATCATTTCTGAATAAACCATTCTTATAAATGAGTTATTCTGTCTGTTTGCTATAGTGCCTGAAGCTGATATTGCATTGCAAACTGATAAAACACAAACTTTGCTGTCCCAACATAGGCTGTCACTGCAGGACATGATACACTTTGAGATCTTCTCTATCATCATCATCATCATCTGACAAGGCATATGTAGCCGTGCCAATTTACAAGATCGCCCCTTCAGCAGTAATTTCAGCAAAACTGAGCTTGAAAAATTCTCTGAAATGTCAATGATTGAGGAACATTTCCCCAATCAGGAAAGTGTCTCCAGATGAGAGGACGAGAGGAAACATTAATATTCCGAGTGGGAAAGAGAGAGCTTCTGGTATTCTAGTGATCTAGTCAAGCTCTGATTTGAAGGATCACCTTGTGTGGAAATGAAGGCTAACTCGTTTAAAATGTCAACATTTGAATACATCACAAAATCACATGACGAATGATTCTCAGAATAGCTGCAATTTATATGTGTACATGATATCCAAAATCATCTTTTAGACATTATTGAAAGGTTTTAGTTATGGCATGTGTCCTAAACGATGACTACCAACTTAGATTTCATTATTCACATAACACAGAGCCAAAATATATCACTTATATAATTGACCGCTACATGCAGCATGCTAACTAATGAGGCCATACAGCATATCAACTTTGGCCCATCATATATTAATAGACAAATTCCCTTATTGAATCACACCAAAGGCATTGCCTGAGGCATCATGCCAAACGTGCTCCAATGCAGGAGTTAATCATTACATTACAGTGATCAAACCCATGGTGCACTGCTCCCAGAATCCAAACATTTATAGGGGCTGTCTTATAACTTGCTCCTCACTTCCATTTATCAATTGTGCAAAATAATGCAACTTAAGTCTGTAAACAAATGCTGATTATGTGGTAATAAATATGCAGGCTACACCTCCAGCATTGAAAAACATCTGTAACTCTATTCCCTATTCATAGAGATCATGCCAAGGGTTTGCAATAAATAATTTGTAATAAACAATTATTATTCAATTAATGCAATTCAGTAATTCAATTATTACTTCAATGCAGTACATCTGACTTGGGGAACTTCTTGCAGACAATATATATTGTGTAAAAATTAACAGGCAGCACACACATATGTATACTTGTATACTTTAAGTACGTATATAGTAAGTTAAAATATTAAATACCAGCAGTACTCAAATGTACCAGCAACATAATAAGGGGGATTTTCAAGGTAGTCAGGAATGGATATATATTTTATTATATTCTCTCAAATTTACTTGTATAGCACTTTTCACAATATGCATCGTCTCAAAGCAGCTTCACAAAAATTGTACTGTTGTGTGTTAATAATGCTTTAGTCCTTTACAATAGAGCAAGTATTAGGGATGGGTGATATGACAATATAATATGATGATACAAGTAATCCTCAGGATTTTAGATGAAGCTATATATATATATATATATATATAATGTATGTATGTGTATATATATATATATATATATATATGTTTTAATGCAAATTAGATTGGATGCAGCAGCTGAAAAGTTTGATGGTCGGGAGTAATTAAGGTAAAAGAGGGATTTAGATTTAGACATTTTCAAAAACTACAACGAACGACTCGTTTGGACTACAACGCATATTTTCCGGGATTTGTGATATCCCACATCCTGCTAAACTTTTATTGATGCACAATTGAAAGCATCGTATGGTAACTGCACTGTCTCAGACCAAATGGCCCTCCAACAGGTTGTTAAAATGGCCCAACACATCACTGGTGTTCAGCTACTCTCCATCAAAGACACTTACCTCAAACGCTGCCTACGAAGGGTGAGAAGCATTATCAAAAATACCTCTCACCCCAGCCACGGACTGTTTACTCTTCTCTAATCTGGGAGATGTTATAGTAGTCTTTGCTGATAGAACCAGCATACTCAGGAACAGTTTCTTCCCCTCAGCTGTCAGCCTACTAAACTATATATATATATATATATATATTTATTTATTTATTTATATATTAGGGCTATTAAAAAAAATTTGAATTTCGAATATTTGTCGTATTTAAAATCCACATTCGAATGCAAAACCGTTGCATTCGAATTTTAGGTGTGCGTTAAGGAGGCAGCCTTATCAGTGGCGCACGAGATGCAATGACGATATAAGTGTCACTGCATTATAATGTTTTTGTTAACCTATCCAGTTGAAGCCACTAGAGGCGGCGCTGCTGCATTGTTAATTACAAATATTGCGGGAACAGAGAACATCAATGCGGAGAAGATCTTGTTTACGTCAAAACTGAAACCAAGCCGTTCACACAGAAAGCCATGTAAAATTAATGCAAGTTCAACTTTAGTGTTATCTTATGCTTTGAATAAACGTGCATTAGTAATATTTTGCTCGATGCGCTCTCTTTGTGGCCTCAGGAGAGAAGCCAAAAGCTTTTCTTCACCCTAACTGAAATTATGCATTTTAAATTGGAATATAATTCGAATTTTGATAATATTTAAGTAAAAAATTCTAATTTAGTTTTTCAGCCATTTTGACAGCCCTAATATATATACAGCATCATCTACTATTATTGTTGCCGACCATATATATATATATTTTACAAATACCTTCAAATATAAATATAAATATAAAAAATATAAACATACACACATGGTCAGAATTGTTGGTAATCTTGGTAAATATGATCAAAGAAGGCTATGAAAATAAATCTGCATTGTTAATCCTTTTGATCTTTTATTTAAAAAATGCACAAAAATCGAACCTTTCATTGGAGAATTAGAATTTAAAATGGGGGGAAATATCATTATGAAATAAATGTTTTTCTCTAATACACATTGGACACAATTAACGATACGCTTTTATTCAATACTTTTTGAAACCTCCATTTGCCAAAATAGTAATGCCTCCTATATATCTCCTATAATGCCTGATGAGGTTAGAGAACACCTGACAAGAGATCATAATCCTTAAAGAGTCTTTGGCCACTCAAACTCTCCCTCTCACCGTGCATTAGGACGATATAGACACATGTTCTCTTCCAGGCAGATTCAAAAAATTTTCTGTTGATTGGAACTTCTTAATCATTGCCCTGATGGTGGAAATGGGGATTTTCACTGCTCTAGCTCTTTTCTTAAAGCCACTTTCTAATTTGTGAAGCTCAATTATCTTTTGCTGCACATCAGAAATATATTCTTTGGTTTTTCTCATTGTGATGGGTTATTAATTTAGAATTTGGCCTTTGTTTTCCCTCCTATTTATATTTCTGTGAAACAGGAAGCCATGGCTGGATAATTTCATGTTCATAATCACCCTGGCGTGCTCAGAATTGTGAATATGAATGGGAATATATTTCAGATATATTTTACTCATAAGAATTTCTAGGGGTACCAGTAATTGTGTCCAACGTGTATTTGAGAAAAAAACATTTATTTCATAATGATATTTCCCCGCATTTTAAATTCTTATTATCCAATGAAAGGTTAGATTTTTGTGATTTTTTTAAATAAAAGATCAAAAGGATTAACAATGCAAAGCCTTCTTTGATCATATTTACCAAGGGTTCCAACAATTCTGACCACGTGTGTACGGTCGGCGACCATATCAGTGCAATCATTTTCAACCAAATTCTTTAATATAATTAATTTTCAAACACAGTAGGATCAGAAAAAAAATGTACAAAAGCTGTTCCTTGGGTGACACCCTTTCACCATTGTACCTTATTTACCCCTAAAGGGTGCATTTAAGTACCTTAAAGGCATATATTAGTACTCAAAGTGCCTATATAGTTGCTCAAATGGCACATATTTGTTCCTTTTAAAAAGGTACTGCCCCAGTGACAGCTTTTGTACTTTTTTTCTGAGAGTGTACATGTGCTGATGGTCCTAGTTCGCTTTCCAGAGGAATCATGAAAAATTATTGTGCAGGTTGACTAGAGGTCCTTCATAAACATTTTTTTTTCTGAGACACTGTTTAGAATAATAATTTGAATATTAAGTCAAAGTCAGTTTTGTGTAATGTCTCTCCAACATACTAGGAGAAGAAAGTACTGCGTTAATTAATAAAATCATCAATTAAATTGTTCTTCCACAATGGAGCTGCATCATTATATCCCCAGCTAATGATGGGCAAAGGTCTCCTACCCAATCTAAACATATTGTACCAGCTTGCATTGTCTCTATTTCCAAAATCCTGAAGATTACACCCACGAATGCTAATGAATTTCAAATGGCTTTAGCTTGTGCTGAGCAGGGGTGATAAATCAGGAGGGGGCAACACTGTGTAATGAAGCCAAATGAGGCTCTTGGCCCCTGCAATGAAGCTAATGAGATGGGGAAAAGCGTTGCTCAGCAGGTACACGGCAGAGATGTGCATCTAAGCGCTCACCATGTGACCTTAATGAGTCCCTGAAATAATGCTAAAATTAGCATTTATATTTATGGCAGTATGGCTACAGATGTCTAATATTCAGATGTTGACTTTAGACCTCTTCATCGCATCCCTGTTGCTAGCATGGCATATAATGGTTACTTCAGACCTATTAGCATTGTTGTCAGTCCTTCATGACCCATAATAATTATTAAGAGAAATGAGAACTCAGATGTACCTTGAGGTCGCTGCCGTTAAGGCGAATTCTGTTTATCCTCCGGCCGCTGGGTCTGCTTGAGTCAATCCAGTAAATGAACTCCTTCTTGTAGTCAAAATCCAAGCTGATTATGTTGTTAAGGCCCTACGGAAGTGAGAAGGAAACAGAACATAGAGGTAATAGAGGTGAATTAAGTAACCAAATGAGATGGACTGCACAACAAATGTGACTGTTAGCACAGTCAGCATGATGTATTAGCTAGGTAAAGGCCACAGTCAGCACACATAGATCAACTATGCAGAACAAAAAAGAATGAAATGTTATGCCTTGTTCTGCTATTCAGTTAGCTGGAGGGCTTAATTAGCCACTTCCGCATACGCTTATCTCGACAGGATCTGGCAAGGATGTACTAGACATGAAACATGCAGAGAATACATTTCTTTTGATGTCTCTTCATCGTATTGATTTTGGAAGAGGACGCAGTGTGTGATGGATGCATGTGGATGCTGGCTTCAGAATCCAGGGAAGCAGTTCAGAGAGCCTTCAGAGGCAACGCTGAGGATACATTTGTTACTGTCATGTTCACATCAGGCTGCTGTCACTCATTCTACCACTCACTAGCCCCCCTGCCTTTGCCCACTTCACCACGGCTGCTAAGATCGGGCGACGGGCATGATGACAGATGAAGAAAAGCTCTGATACCCCCATCAGATCATCAGCACTGTGAGACCCAAAAAGACCTTTAAACTTATCTTGTGGCAAGAACCTCCAGCCTTATCTTAAGGCCACAAACAAGTTATGTTTTATGTGACATCAGTTAAAACATACAAGAGAAATCTATTAGAGGTCATGAGCATTTATGGTAAGGCAGTAAGGTATAGAGTAGGGGTCGGCAACCTACGGCACGCGTGCCAGCAGTGGCACGCAGAGGGATAATAGTTGGCACACGAGCAATATGGATAACTACTGACGTAAATTTTGAGGTAATAACTTCTCATAGTCACACAGCCTGTTAGGAGCTATAAATACTATTAAAGTGTGAGAATTAACTTGTGCTAGTCTACGGATGCGTGCGCAACCGCTGCACATACTAGGCATTTCAGATCAATGCCTCAGAGGTCTAACAGCGATCGTCAATGTCAAAATGACTGAGATGGCCAATCAAATCAAAGTAGGCGGGGTTTGCTGTTCACAGCAGCAGAGCGCAAAGCGTCAGTTTAACGTTAAAGAGAGCGAAGTAAGATGAAGCTGCAAACCAATTAATATTAGTCAACTTTTAAGATACGTTTTACGATATAAATGACCGACAGCTATATCCAGTGATGCAAACTACTCTAATTTTTTTCTCACAAATATGGCCATTTTGAGAGAGAGAGAGATATGTAAATTGCCTGCATCTGTGTGTCTCTACAAACAGTGAAGCTGAGTTTAGTTAATTAAAAAACAGCGATTTCACCCCCCTCGTTGCTGAGAAATATAATGTAGCGATTCAGAATCGATTAATAAAAGTAAGTTGGCAGCGCTGACAACAAGTTTATGAGCTTCTGAATGTTACTTTTTGCACAGCGCGATCTCAGATCTATGTGTGCGAGTGGTGTGATATAGAACGGTAATTAAACTGAACGGTTTTAATGCATTGGCCTTGTCACACATACACATACACACACACATACAGTGGTGTTCAGTATGGTCACACTGTATATCTGTTATTCAAGAAACTTTTGAAAAGTTAAAAAAACTATTTATGAAAAAATCTTCAGAAACAATTTGTATAAAAAGCAAATAGGCTTAATGTGTTTTTATCGTATCATTTAAAAATGTGTATGTACTGTATAAATACAGAATGCATTAAAAAAGGGGAGGGGGGGTGGCTGTTGTCACAGTGGTTAACCAGAAAAATAAAAAATGTCACGCCATGCCGAAAAGGTTGCCGACCCCTGGTATAGAGGAAACATTATCTATAACTATTATATCTTGCCAAAATGGTTAGTTTCTACCTGAGAAAAATTGCCTTAATTAAACTTATTAAAAATGATTCAATATTAATAGGAGTTACAGTGTTGGTTTTATCATAGTAAACTAAGTTGAAGAACCTTGCTTGATGTTTTTGAAAAAAAGTCTCTTATGTTCACCAAGGCAGCATTCATCAAAAATAAATAAATACATAAATAAAAAAACAGAAAAATAAAAAACAACAACGAAATACAATAAAAACAGTAATCATTATTACAATTTAAAATACCTGTTTTCTATCTGAATTATGATTTTTTTTTTAAATGTAATTTAATACTATGAAGGCAAAACTGAATTTTTGGCAGCCATTACTCCAGTCTTCAGGTTTCAAATTCCTCCAAAAAAATAAAATAAAAAAAATCAGTCTACCATGCTAAAAAAAAAAGCTTTTTTTTTAAACATTTTTAATTAATGTTGTCAATCAATCAGTTGTGCTGCTTAATATTTTGGGGAAAACTTAAAAACCTTCTATTCTGATGAATAGGCAATTCAAAAGAACAGCATTGATTAAAAAAAATAATAAACTTTTGTAACATTGTAAAACTCTTTACTGAAACTTTTGATCAATTTAGCACAGTTAGCACAGCATACAAATATAAATTATAACTAAATTTGTAAGTTAACTAGCCCATAAAAAGTAATATGAACTGCACATTAGCAATAGTATAGGTTAGCAGTTAATATAGCAATATTGTTATTTTCCCTAGCAGAAGTTAGATGATAAATAATAAGCAGGATAATGTACAGTCAGCCAGTCATTACTGCAAAATAAACTCATTCAGGGTGATAAAAGTGGGCTTCTAATGACCAGGTGACTACATTTTCTCTTACTTACTGTACTGGCTATGCTTCAAACTGAAGGGACATTCAATGCTTTAATTAAGGATACTGTATGGCAGCTGGATAAATAGCTAACTAGCATTCCACAGAGCAAACGAGATCATGCACTATGCTACTATGAGGTCAACAAGACCTCCATTGTCGGGAAGAGGCCACAGGGGCCACTCATATTTAAGTGCGAAAGCTTTCTTTCCTTCACTCTTATTAAACAAAATGGAATAAATGAAATTGAATGATTGCTGATGAGACTACTCCATAAAGGGGAGAGTTTTCCGAGAGCCCTATAGAAATTCCCCTGGATGACAGCCTCAATTGGTATGAATAATGTAATGAGCGCAGAATTGAGGAAACTCACATTTCACTAAGAATAATCATTTCGATGGTAATGACTAGGCCTCTAATGACACCATCTGTGGATAATAGCACAGGGAAACTCAACGTGTTACACTAGGCCAATCAGAAATGGCAGTTATATATAACGTCAAAATGACATTTCATAGAGCCATTCATAATGTGTGCCAAATTTGTTGTATCAGACAAGCTCTTGAATATGCAAAAGAAAAAAAAAATACGGTTTCACTTTATTTTGGTCCCTTTAACACATTCTGTGGACTATAGGTAAAGTTGCACCTACATGTCTACTAACTCTCATTAGAGGGTTAGGTAGGGTAAGGGTTAGAATAAGTTGACATGTACTTGCAAAATTACTTATAGTCAGTAGAATGTCTGTTGGGAGACAATCACAATAAAGAGTTAGCAGATATTAAGCATAAAGTCTACTAATACTCTAATGTGAGTTAGTAGACATGTAGGTGCAACGTTATTTATTGTTATTTAACAGAATGTTCAAAAGGGACCATCAAAATAAAGTGTTACCAAAATTACTTTTCATCTTTGCAAACAAAGTACCACCTGTGATGTAGAACCTCAAAATAAAGGCTAAAATTTGTAATGGTCAACTGAAATGGATATTTTAATAGCCAAAGACCAGGCTGATGATCAATGTAATGGTGACATACTACACTCTAAAAAATGCTGGGTTGTTTCAACCCAACTTTGGGTCAAATATGGACTAACCCAGCTGTTGGGTTAAAAATTTAATTTAAAAATTTAACCCAACAGCTGGGTTAGTCCATATTTGACCCAAAGTTGGGTTGAAACAAGCCAGTCATTACTGCAAAATAAACTCATTCAGGGTGATAAAAGTGGGCTTCTAATGACCAGGTGACTACATTTTCTCTTACTTACTGTACTGGCTATGCTTCAAACTGAAGGGACATTCAATGCTTTAATTAAGGATACTGTATGGCAGCTGGATAAATAGCTAACTAGCATTCCACAGAGCAAACGAGATCATGCACTATGCTACTATGAGGTCAACAAGACCTCCATTGTCGGGAAGAGGCCACAGGGGCCACTCATATTTAAGTGCGAAAGCTTTCTTTCCTTCACTCTTATTAAACAAAATGGAATAAATGAAATTGAATGATTGCTGATGAGACTACTCCATAAAGGGGAGAGTTTTCCGAGAGCCCTATAGAAATTCCCCTGGATGACAGCCTCAATTGGTATGAATAATGTAATGAGCGCAGAATTGAGGAAACTCACATTTCACTAAGAATAATCATTTCGATGGTAATGACTAGGCCTCTAATGACACCATCTGTGGATAATAGCACAGGGAAACTCAACGTGTTACACTAGGCCAATCAGAAATGGCAGTTATATATAACGTCAAAATGACATTTCATAGAGCCATTCATAATGTGTGCCAAATTTGTTGTATCAGACAAGCTCTTGAATATGCAAAAGAAAAAAAAAATACGGTTTCACTTTATTTTGGTCCCTTTAACACATTCTGTGGACTATAGGTAAAGTTGCACCTACATGTCTACTAACTCTCATTAGAGGGTTAGGTAGGGTAAGGGTTAGAATAAGTTGACATGTACTTGCAAAATTACTTATAGTCAGTAGAATGTCTGTTGGGAGACCATCACAATAAAGAGTTAGCAGATATTAAGCATAAAGTCTACTAATACTCTAATGTGAGTTAGTAGACATGTAGGTGCAACGTTATTTATTGTTATTTAACAGAATGTTCAAAAGGGACCATCAAAATAAAGTGTTACCAAAATTACTTTTCATCTTTGCAAACAAAGTACCACCTGTGATGTAGAACCTCAAAATAAAGGCTAAAATTTGTAATGGTCAACTGAAATGGATATTTTAATAGCCAAAGACCAGGCTGATGATCAATGTAATGGTGACATACTACACTCTAAAAAATGCTGGGTTGTTTCAACCCAACTTTGGGTCAAATATGGACTAACCCAGCTGTTGGGTTAAATTTTTAAATTAAATTTTTAACCCAAAAGTTGGGTTAGTCCATATTTGACCCAAAGTTGGGTTGAAACAGCCCAGCATTTTTTTTTGAGTGTATATAGGAAATACTATTAGTGACAGCAAAATGAAATAACTGCTGAAATAAAATTAACACTTATTTTACTTAAGATTTAATCTTGGCTTATCCTGTAGAATTCACATTATTGTTCATTTCGGGTGTAGAATATATTTTTGTTTAATTTTTGATTATTTGTAACTGGTTTTTTAACTAATTTTTATTTGTTATTTAGAACTATTTTGGACTATTTTTGCTTGTCAGAATATGTATAATATTTAATGTCAAAGTGTCAAAAAGTTAATTCATTAATGTTAACTGGTATAATCTCAAAATTAATTGGCTTTGCTGACATTAATTAGCTTAACTGACATTAAATGTAAAATGTATACAGTACTCCTCACTTTCAAGACCAGCAACAGAAGGACTGTTTTTAATTCTTTTATGTGAAGCTCCACCAAGCCGGGACACTAGTTAATGACTTCAATTAGTGTTTTCAAAGAGCATAAGAGACAATAGACACTGTGCTGTTATCACAGTCGTGTCATCACAGCTTAATTGGTCCTCTATTAGGCTTTCACAAACACAGCATTTCTATCTTATGATCTGGTCTCTGGAGTCCAGTAACAATTTCATGTAGCAGTACAGCAGTCTCGGCTGTGCAGATTACATGGGCAGCCTTTCAATAAAGTGTGATATGAAAATAAACAATAAATGAGAACGTAATTAGAAAACAGTTGACATAGAGATTTACCTGTTTCAGTAGAGTGTAATTGGATCCATCGACACTTAATTTTCTGATTTCATGAAGATCAGCAAGTATAAGAAAGGGTTCTTCAGCTGTGAGAAATATAAAGGTGACTTGATGTGATGGAGCCGGACAACTGTCAAGTTAACAAAGCCTGAAATCATCAAGTTCTGGGGGAGAATTCATTAAAATTCATTAAAATTTACCTGAAAGAGACTTGCAGCTGTTGGGGTCTTTTTTGGAAGCTTCATAGCCATCTACACACAAACACTTGAAGGAACCATAAGTGTTGGTGCAGTTCTGGCTGCAGGGTAGTGTGGTGGAGCATTCGTCAATGTCAACACATGTTCTCCTATCATTCTTCAGGTGAAATCCTGGCCAGCACTTACACTAGACACATTGGTGAAAAAATGATAATTGAGATGTTCTGATTCAAAGCCAGGAAATTGCTATTAATAAAAAAAAAGAAACCACTCTGCTGAGATCACTCTGCAAAATTCCACTTCATTTCAGTTTCAGTTTCAACTTCAGTTTAATTTCAACATATACAGATAATACTTAAAAATGAACATTGTGCCATCATTTGCATGTAATTCCAAATCGGTCTCACTTAAAGGTGGGGTAAGCTCCGCCCCACACATACGTACGCAACCTAGGCAACGATTAGTTCTGTGAAACAAAACAAAACCAATGTTACACCGTGTCTACACTGGACGCGAGTGGCGCGGCGCGACAAAATACTATAGAACTCATTTTAATCGGTTATGCTGTCTACACCATATACATATACATATCTATGGTCTACACTGGATGCGGCACAGCACGACACGACAAGTCCCCGACAGAAAACTGCTGCTGCGTTCTAACAAAACCAATGTTACACCGTGTCTACACTGGACGCGAGTGGCGCGGCGCGACAAAATACTATAGAACTCATTTTAATCGGTTATGCTGTCTACACCATATACATATACATATCTATGGTCTACACTGGATGCGGCGTGGCACGACACTACAAATCCCCGACAGAAAACTGCTGCTGCGTTCTATTCATGACGTATTGACACAAATTTCAAATGGTTTTCAACGGTCGCTTTGTCGCGTCCAGTGTACTAGACAGACTTTAGCTGTTGAGGCGCAGACACGGTGTTATCGAGAAGACACAAAGCAACCTTGGCATCCGATCGCAGGACTTCCGCTCCTTGAGTTCTCTCCAGCGCTGGAAAGCTGATCCGATATTTACACGGGTCCTACTTCTTGCATTAAAGGGGTCATATGATGCTGCTAAAAATAACATTATTTTGTGTATTTGGTGTAATGAAATGTGTTTATGCGGTTTAAGGTTCAAAAAACACATTATTTTCCACATACTGTACATTATTGCGCCATCTCTATCTTTCTGTCGCTTGGCTCGGCTAATGTCCGTCCTGAGTAAATGAGTACCATGAGTAAACACGCCTCTTACTGCTGATTGGCTACAAGTTTGTTTTGCTACTCGGCCCGAATCAGTTTTCTAAAGCGTTTTTGAAAAATCGCTCACCCCACCTTTAAAACACAAAAAGCTATTTTCCATACAAATCCAAATGAATGGGGATCGCTTTTATTTCTGAGTCATCTTTTCCTTTAAAAAAAATCATTTGGTTTAAAAGTTGCACCAGAACAAAAGTTCTGGCGTTTTACTGATAATGATCACAAACTTTCATGTTAAGCCTTTTCAAATGTTCAAAATCTGTCGCATTGTAGCTTATTAGATTACTCCTGATACTGTATGTTCTCTGCTCAGTCTGTAACCTGAAAGGCTTTTTCTCAACATCCCTTAATTTATCCCACAGTGAATGTGAGGTCAGACTCTTTACCTACAGGACTGTCTTCAAACACCTCTGGTGATCACAGGTCATGTGAACATGGCGCTCCTGACACCTAGTTTGCCAATCAGCAACTCTACAGAAGTGTCTGTAACTCGAGAGATTTAGCTCAAAAATCTCCCTCCTTAAGGCACACCTCTAGAAAGCTCCCGAAGGCACAATCCTTTGTTTAAACTTGATCCGAGTATGCCAATTAAGTACCAATGAAGCAAAACTGGGACAAACCATTCCTATGGCTTTTTACTTTGATAATGTTTGCCAAAGTAATTCAGTGAAAAGATGTTGCAGAAACAAAAACACAGTAGGTTCTGCAAAGCAATTCATCAGTCACATTTGTGCGAAACTTGAAGTCACATGAAATAAGACATGAATGATTTTATATATATTCCCAAGGAAGATTTTCTGTTTTATAAAATATTTAAAACAAAAGGAAAAACTTGCTATTATTTGTAATATGGCAACTGCATGACAAATAAAAATTTTAGATTTTAAAAATCTTTCTTGCCCTTTTCATATAACATATCTGAGCACAAGAAATACACATGTATTTCTGCAGAAGCTGGTAACACGTTAGTATAGGGACCGATTCTTACTATTAACTAGTTGCTTATTAACATGCCTATAATTAACATATTGGCTGTTTATTAGTACTTTTAAAGCACATATTCTGCATGACCATATTCTACATCCCTAATCCTACCCAATACCTAAACTTAACTAATACCTTATTAACTATTAATAAGCAGCAAATTACCTAAAATACCTAAACGTAACAACTACAGTACCTTACTAACTATTAATAAGCAGCAAATTAGGAGTTTATTGAGACAAAGGCGTAGTTAATGGTTTGTTAATAGCAAGAATTGGACCTTAAAATAAAGTCTGACCCTTGTAATTGTCTTTTGCGTAAATATACTTTTAATATAATTAATATAATATAATGTCCAACAATTTACTGCAATAATATAATTGATGCTGTACAAATAGCTTGTGAGGAAACGCATGACTGCATGACTGCATTCAACTATGATATGGAATTACTAATGAAATTAAATTATCTGCATCAAAAGTTACTGATTCTGTAAATTTTCAAGCTAAAAACATATTGTAGCTTGTAAAAATTGAATATATTCCGAAATACATATCAACTTGTGAATGCTGCATAAGTGTTAGGAGAAGCAAGCTTTGGCTGGATAAAATTTTTTGGTAACACTTTTGTATAGGGACCAATTATCTCTATTAACTATTTACTTATTAACATGCCTATTATTAACACATTGGATGTTTATTAGTACTTATAAAGCACATATTCTGCAAGAACATGTTTTACATCCCTAATCCTACCCAATACCTAAACTTAACAACTACAGTACCTTACTAACTATTAATTAATTAAGTTTATTGAGGCAAAAATCATAGTTAATGGTTTGTTAATAGCAAGAATTGGACCTTAAAATGAAGTGTGACAAAATTTTTTTTTTAGTTACTTCGGGTAAAACAAAAAACAAAAAAACAAAGCAGGATAAAAAAAAAGAAAAAGAAATGAAGCGCCAATTGAGGACAAGATTTAATACAATACCCAAACTTACATAAATTTATTATAAAATGTATTACAATCTAATTCATTTATATTTGTTAAAACTTTATTTTTTAAAATAAAGAATGTATTTACAATATACAAATAATTTTAAGCATTCTTTTCTTTACAATTAATCACACTATAGTAATGACAGCGTAAAATACAATGTATAAATATATTATTGACCAACCTTGTATCCCACTGGTAAGTCCTGGCAATCCTGTGTACAGCCGCTGACACGACGGTTGAGACATTCATTGACATTGCAGTTTTTCTCATCCGAGCGATCTCCACAGTCATCTTTCAGGTCACATAAACTCTTCTCAGATATACAGCGGCCATTTGAGCACATGAAAAAGGAACTGTTGCATAAGCTCTCTAGATATAAAGGAAGAAAGTGAAAACAAAGGAAACAAAATAAAAAAAAGTACAAAGCAATACAAACAATAAAGACGTGTAGTGTTAAAACCCAAGCTGAAAATGTAAAAATGTTTTTGGATAAAGCATGAATGGTTGGATGGCTGGAACTGTACAAAGCTAGAGGGCATAAAAGTTGCAATTTTTTATCCTGCAACTGCCAGTAAGTGCAAGGCTTTTAAAAAAAAAGAAATAAATGCTTGATACGCTCAGCTGAAAACATGCCATCCCCGCAGGTCAAAGTTATCCACTTCAGCCCCCTGCTTTTATCCATGATGTTCCTTGGCCACTTGTATTCCCTCAGACGTTCAGTAAACCCCACATCCATCAGTCAAACATATTTCAGGCACAGCTCTGTTGGGCCATTACCGGCAGCCAGGCATTTGAGGTTGAGGGGCAGCTCATCAGAGTGGTCAGGGCAGTCTGGGTAACCATCACACTCCCACTGGACGCTGAGCAGGCATCGGCCATCAGCACAGCGGAACTCATCTGGCCCACATGAGCGGTATACTGCATAAAGAGTGAGGACTGTCAGCATAGTGACACACTTTGCTACCAAACAGAGATCTTAAACGGATAGCTCTCACACACACACACACACACACACACACACATAAATTAATTCTGTCAGCATTCGTTTTAAAATTAATGTTATTATTTTTTCTTCCGTGGGACACAAAAGCAGATATTTAGTTGAATGTCCAAGCTGCTCATTTTACAATTCAAGTGTTCAGCAATTTAAACTGTCAAGCTCCAAAAAGGACAAAGAAATCCACCACAAAACTACTATAAAAGGTTGTCCACTTGACTTGAGAACATATGGAGTACTTTTTGGATCTCCAGACTGAAATGTGATACACTTTGGTACATATTCTGATAAATAAATTATGATAAAATACATTTTGTTTTCCAAAGACAAAAAACAAAACAAAACAAAACATATAATATATATTGTTTTAATGTTTTGTAATGTTTTGTTTTGTGTCTTTGGAAAACAAAATGTATTTTATCATATATATATATATATGAATATAAATAATGAATAATTATGAATAATTTCCCAGACTTTCTATTTCATATTTTAACTTTGGTTCAATACGTTCTAGTGCAATAAATTGTGAGGGTGTATGAACACGGATGATGTCCTGTGGAGAGGCTGCCCTTTCATGTTGTGAAGACCAGGGCCCAAGTTCTCCATCAAATAGTTTCAGTTTTAAGTAAAAATTGTTCTAAAACATTTTTAGAAAACCCCAATAATTGAAGTACTGACTATTCTTGAAACTGTTCTTCTTAATTAAGAATGAATTGTACAAATAATACGAGCACAGAGCAGCCTAAGGCTCACTGTAGAGCTTTAATTAACAGAGAAATGCCTCACTTTTCCATTAAAATACTGCACATTTTTACTATTTCAATGTTGATTTTTGTGGTATTCAGTTTACTTTATAAATAAAATTAGCTTTAGCAAATTCCTTAAGGGAAAAGCAGGTATCTATAGTGACCAAAGGTAGAAAAAATGCATTTCTCAACAGCTCTGCTTCTCGGTCTGTTGCTTATTCAAAGCCTACCCATAGGAAAGAAAAATCAAAAGTGAGATCGCTTTAACAGCTCAAATATTTATCCTAGACAGAAATGAGGTTACTTTAAGATCGAATGGAGATTTTTGCTTGAGTCTCCTGCTTCTCAAACTTGTCTCCTGAGACAAAAACTCTAGCAATCTCACAATGGTCTCCTTTAAAGCTTTAAAAGAGATCTCAATAACATCACACACTGTGCTCAGATATTTCTCCTTAGCTACAGACACTGGATCT